GGGGAAAAAAAAAAAAAAAAAGGGGGAAAAAAGGGAACGGGGAAAAAAAAAAAAGAAATAAAAGAAAAAAAAAAATAACGAAAGAGAAAAAAAAAGAGAGGAAAGAAAAAAAAAAAGGAAGAGAAAAAAAAGGGGCCAAGAAAAAAAAATAAAAAAAAGAAAGGGGAAAAAAAAAGGGAGGAAAAAAAGGAAAAAAAAAAAAGGGAAAGAAAAAAAGAAAAAGAAAAGAGCCCAAAAGAAAAAAAAAAATAAGAAAAAAAGTGATGGGAAAAAAAAAAAGGGGGAAAAAAAAAAAAAAAGGGGGAAAAAAAAGAAAAAAAGGAAAAAGGAAAAGAAAAAGGGAAAGAAAGAAAAAAATGAAAAAAAAAAGAAAAAAGAAGAAAAAAAAAAAGAAAAAAAGGAGAAAAGAAAAAAAGAAAAAAGAAAGAAAAAAAAATCAGGAAAAAGAGACCGAAGAAAAAAAAGGAAAGAGAAAAAAAAAAACCAAAAAAAAGAAAAAAAGGAAAAAAAAGGGGTGCCAAAGGGAAAAAAAAGAAAAAAGAAAAGAAAAAAGAAGAAAGGAAAAGAAAAAAAGGAAAAAGAAAAAAAAGAAAAAGAAAAACAGGCAGAAAGTTATAAGGAAGAAGAAAAAGAAGGATGAAGTTGAAAGAGAAAAAGAAGAAGAAAAGAAAAAAAAAAAAAAATAGGTGAAAAAAAAAGAAAAAAGAAAACAAAAAAAGAAAGGAAGAAGGAAAAAGAAAAAAAGAAAAAAAGAAAGGGGAGAAAAAAGGGGAAAAAGAGAAAAGAAAAAGGGTAAAAAAAAAAAGGGAAAGGGAAAAGGAAAAAGGAAAAAAGGGAAAAAACAAAAAGGAAAAAAAAAAAAGGGGGAAATAGGGGGTGGAAACAAAAATTTCCATCAAAAAATTACAAACGAGCAAGTAAATAAAAGGAGAATGTACAGGCACTAAAACAATGGAGTAATATTGAAGTGAAATGAGAAAAAAAGACATGAGAGAATAGGATAAAGATGAGCAAAGAAATTACGTAAAGATGTATATTTCTAGAAATACTCTAGATCGTAAATGATGAAATATATATATTAACCAGACCTCAGAGAAAGAATCAGCACTTTAACATTTAGCTTAATAAGTTCGTAATTGAATAAAGACGATTTGTATATGACAAGTAGTAAGTCTTTTTTTTTTTTAATAAAAAGGGTATAGATTCCAATTTTAAAAAGATACGAGAAAAAAACATTAAAAAAAAATAGAAAAAAGAAAGAAAGAACGGAAGAAGATAAGAAAAATAGAAGAAAAGAGGAAAAAGATAAAACAAGAAGCAAAAAAGGAAAAAAAACAAAGAGGGCGAAAAAAAAGAAAAGAGACTTTAAACGAGGAAAAAGATTTAACTAAGAAAAAAGAAGAAGAAAAGAAAATGAAGAGCCAGAAGAAGAAGATAAACGTGGACAGGAGAAAAAAAAGATTAAGAAAACAGGCAGAAAGTAAGGAAGAAGAAAAAGAACGAGGAGGACAAGAAGCATGACAAGAAGTTGAAAGAGATATAGAAGAAGAAGAAGAAGAAGAAAAGAAGAAGAAGAAGAAGAAGAAGAAAAGAAGAAGAAGAAAAGAAGAAGAAGAAGAAGAAGAATTTGAAAGAAGAAGAAGAAGAATAGATGTGAAGATGGAGAAAAAGAAGACAAAGAAGAAGAAGAATGAGATTAGAAAGGTAGAACTAGATGTATAAGAGTTGAGTAAAATGGCGGAAAGAAAAGAAAACAAGAAGAAGAAGAAGAACGTAGAAAAAGATGAAGAAAACGGGCAGAAAGTTATAAGGAAGAAGAAAAGAGAGGAGGACAAGAAGAAGAAGGACAAGAAGTTGAAAAGATATAGAAGAAGAAGAAGAAAAGAAGAAAGAAGAATTTGAAAGAAGAAGAAGAAATAGATGAAGATGGAGAAAAAGAAGACAAAGAAGAAGAAGAATGGAGATTAGAAAGGTAGAAAGCTAACGATGTATAAGAGAGTTGAGTAAAATGGCGGAAAGAAAAAGAAAACAAGAAGAAGAAGAAGAAGAAGAAGAATGTGGACAGGAGAAAAAAGATGAAGAAAAACGGGTGAAAGTTATAAGAAGAAGAAGAAGAAGGACAAGAAGTTGAAAGAGATATAGAAGAAGAAGAAGAAGAAGAAGAAGAAGAAGAAGAAAAAGAAGAAGAAGAAGAAGAATGGAGATTAGAAAGGTAGAAAGCTACGATGTATAAGGAAGTTGAGTAAAATGGCGGAAAGAAAAAGAAAACAAGAAGAAGAAGAAGAAGAAAAAGAAGAAGAAGAAGAAGAAGAAGAAGAAATAGATAAAGATGGAGAAAAGAAGAAGACAAAGAAGAAGAAGAATGGAGATTAGAAAGGTAGAAAGCTAACGATGTATAAGAGAATTGAGTAAATGGCGAAAGAAAATAAAACAAGAAGAAGAAGAAGAAGAAGAAGAAGAAGAAGAAGAAGAAGAAGAACGGACAGAGAAAAAAATTCATTATCAGATAATCACTAACAAGATTCTTAATAGAGACAAATCATCTATGCCTACTATTATTCATGGCACTACGGTTATTTCAACTTCATTTGACAAGGCCAAGCTCATTACAGTGAACTTTGCCTCAAGCTCCACACAAGACAATCAGGATCATCCTTTACCTGATTTTCCTCCTGTCACAGAACACAAGGTTTGTGACCACACCATCTTAGCTGAAAAAGTTTCTGGAGTTACAAAAACCTTGACTTTACAATGGCTACTGGAAGAGTCTACATAATTATCAAGTCTTTTCTCTCTGATAGGTCCATTAACAAGAAGACAGGGCTCAAATAACCAAAGATAAAAGCGATTGCATAGATTAATTCAAAACCTATCAGCTATTGTGAAGCCCTTGCCAATAGATTTAAGATTATAATACTATATACAAGAAGTTTTTTTTTATTTTGAAATCTACAAATGACAACATCCAAAAACTTAACCAGAAAAAAAGAAAAAAAAAAGAAAAAAAAAGTCTTTAAATATTAGTACCTGACAACAAATAAATTAGATTTTATGAAGTCGGCATGTGGTAGACCTTTATATTTAAACAGTTGATAGTTTTATTCTTTTCAAGATGTATTAGCAAAGAACGCTGAGTAGTCAGCCTTGGTACAAGCCTGAATATACTAAAGCTAAAGTTCACCCTAACTTCCATCTTTATCACTGTAAACAATATAACAAGATTTATGCCACATTCAGAACTGCCAACAACCATTGCTAAAAAAAAAACAAAACAAAAAAAAAGCTTTTCAACTATTGTGCACTTTCTCAGTAACTGACATGATAGGAAGACTGGTTTCTTTTTTTTGTTTTTTTTCCAGTTTAACTATGAACAAAATGAATATAGCTCTGTTGGTTTTAGCCTATTAAACTACTATTAATTTTAAACTTGTATGCTTTCTAATTGGCTGATTAATAATATTTAATGAGAAACATTAGTTATTGTAACATGTCTTTGAAACATCTTATAAACCTTATATTAAATAAATTTAAATATTTAAAATTTAAATTTAAGCTAAATTATAATTAAAACACATATATATCTACAAATATCTAAAAGTATTGGCTAGCTATCGAAACAGACTGATTCAATATCTATCTAGAAGTTGACAGTCAAACTATACTACACACATACACACACGCACACAGAGAAACACACGTACCTAGAAATATCTAAGACTAGTGGTTAGCCATCGAAACAGATTCAATATCTTTTTTTTTAAGCAATTGACCCCAAGCAAGACGGGAGTATAACTAGCACGCAAGGGGTTACAGAGGATTGAGAACAAGAGTAAAGCGTCGAGTTTGAGGAAAGGATACAGAGAAGGACGGGGAACATGATCAAGGTATCAGAAGGTGTCGATTGACATTACAATTGAATATTTTAAAAGATTATATATATATATATATATATATATATATATATATATATATATATATATATATGATTTAAAAAAAACAGACCCCTTTAAGGTCTCATTTGTTATAATTTATTTCACCAGAGAATTGTATTTTTCTCTGAATCTTCAGACTTCACTTTCAAAAGGTGAAACGAAAAATGAATTTAAAATTTACACTTTTGACGGGCAGTATTAAGCTTATATATCTTGACATAGGTGGTGATGAGGAATGGTGTGAGAGACATGGTCGAGTTTAGAGATCGAAGGGAGAGTTTTAAAATTTATTTTTAATTTTATTTAAATACTTAATATTGAGGAAGAAGTGGGTAAGGATCAGACATTGACCTATTTAATCGGTCAACTCAACGGAAATGATATGGGAAAAAGGAGAAAAAGGAAAAAGGAGAAAAGGAAAAAATGGTGGGGAAATAAAGGGATAAGAGATAAGAGATGTATGTAGGGTTTTTGGAGGAAGGAGAGGGGTGTTATAGCTTTAGCAATTTAAATAAACACAGATTTTAACATTTCATAGTAAGAAGAAAGAAATTAAATCTAATGCTTGCTAGCAATTTAAATATTCAACTTCTCCACAAATAAATTAGGGATTTAATATAAGCCGAATATTATATTAATAAACAAAAATAAAAATTTACTAATAGTAATATTTTAACTATTTACATTATTCGGACTATTGTCCTCATCTTTGTCGCCATATTTACCACAACGTTTCGGCCGTTGTACGCTCCGGCCTTCTTCAGGCGGTTGGAATGTCGAACTTTTAAAAGTTGAACGATAATTCTCTGGATCTAACTAACGCCTTTATCCACTGTGCCATGTGTCCTTGACATCTGGGTATGAATTTCTGGGTCTTATAAACCTAATGTCTTCAGCAACCATATTTTAATATTGTGAATGACTGTTAAGGTAAAATCTTTATTAGTTACGGTCTAATTAATGAATTTAATTTGTAGCTATTTTTAGATGGGTACTATTTCTTAATTTATGTGTTGGTTTCAAATCAAGATGGAGTAAGATTTGAAGGTAATAGTAAAAAAAAAATTACTGTTTTTTTTATACAGACACCATATACATATTTACGTAATAACACATGCACATACATTCATATACATGTACAGATACATATATAACCACATACACATCTATCGATATACATCGGTATATACATATACAAATACTGACATATACATTTACATATATCCACACGCATCGATTTTTATACATATTTAAATTTTTTTTTAAATTTTACAGTTAACGTTAGATAGTGAATTAAGTGTTTAAATTTTGAAAAAATATTTTTAATTTTAATATTTTTAACATCATGAATAATGGTTAAGGAGTAATATTTTTTTAATTTAAATCTAAGTGATCAATTTAAAATGACATTATCTCCAGATGAGTAAAATTTCCAATCTATATATATATATATATATATATATATATATATATATGTGTGTGTGTGTGTGTGTGTGTCTGTGTGTGTGTGTGTGTGTTTGTTGCAAATTTCTCATTAAACGGCACAATAATACAGTGGTTATGTAACCGCGTCGATTAATGTGCTATTTACGACAATGTCTTGAACAATAAAAATTGTCAAAAATTAAAATTTCAGACACAGTGTATTGTATATGAATATTTTTGTTTTATCTTTTAATTACGTTCCTCGACTAGTTTCAGCTGCCATGGCCATCATCAGGAAAATAAAAAATTCATGCTTGTAAGTAACAGTGAAATGCTGGGGTGAATGACAGTCTCTGAAGAAGTTGGACTTGTTTTTTTATAGTTAATCTTTGGTCAGTTGTGGGATTGGTCAAAGATCTTTTACAAGTTGTTTTTTTTTTTTAAGGAGAGGTCGGAAGCCCCATCAGTCTCAGATGTACCTCTTTAGTCGTTTTGACAGCTTTAAGTATTGGTTACTGGGATGGAGATGTGTGTGTTAGGCGTATGTTATCTTTTAATTTTGGGGGAGTGTGTGTAGTGTATGTATGTGTATATATTTGTCTGTGTGTGAATGTGTGTATGAGAGACTTCACCTTTGTGAGCATGTCTGTCTGGTGTGCTTGAGGGGCTAGGGAGAGACCGCTTGGGCCCTTCATGGGTGGTGTCACCTTCAATATGGTAACAGTAGTCTATATTCAACTATAGAGAGATTATAATATTTGAGAGAGAAATATGGGAGTGGGGAATTATCTTTGGGGTTATATGTTAATTCTATCAGTACTGTTTAGTTTGCTGTTGACTCCGTCTAGACAAAATGCTTTGAGGCGCAAAATCCTTTTGTCTTTATGTTCTTCTAGGATTTTCATAACTTTGTGTCTATTTCTATTATTTCAATAATAGTGAATTTCGCACGGCCATTAAAATCGTGTTTTTCTAGGCAGAAATGTTGTTCCACAGGTAATAATCTTTCGTGGAAAGCCGACTTAATCCGATTCCGATAATTATTAATTCTGTAGTGAAAGAGTTTGTCAGATTTTCCCACATATTGTTTCTGGCATAGTGTGCATTATAATATGTAAATTATGTAATGATTTCTACCGTTAGAGGCGTGGTAGATTTTGAAAGTAGTATTAGTGACTGAATTAGTGAACGAATTGTGTGTCTAATGTGGTTACAACATAGACTCCTTTTGTTGTTACATGGTTGAGATAAGTCTATTGTTGGAAAATCCAATACATATATATATATATAATATTCAAAAATTATAACATGAATATGTTATAAAATCATTACAAAAATAGCCATTTTGTTTCAACGCTTCCGGTGTCTTATCAAGTGATGATGTCGAATGTAGAATAAAGGTTTTTTTTTTCCTTTTTTTTAAACCCTTTATTCTACATTCAACACCATCACTTGATAAGACACAAGAAATGTTGAAACAAAATGGCTATTTTGTAGTGATTTTTAAACATATTTATGTTATAATTTTCGAATATATTATATTTGCTCAACTCTGTATTGAGCACTCTTTTAAGAATAGCATTTTTTTTGACTATTGGAATTTTTTTCCGTATACACAATCCTCTACTTGTATATATATATATATATATATATATATATATATATATATATATATATATATATATATATATAAGACATGCTTGGGAGGTGTTGCGGTCTGAATATTTTTAAAAATTAAGTCTGTTAAGCATCTTTGCTAAAATTCAATAATTGTCCATAAGCCTCAGCATCGAACCAAAACTAGTTATTCCATAGAAATTTGTTGAAAATTTGAACGTGTCGAAAACGACACCTCGGTCATCCTAGTGTTGACAGATATATTTATCAAAATTATCATGAATTAGTAAAGAATAAGTTTATTCAATAAAATCGCCATTGGTTTCAATCAGGTCCTCCAGATGACTTCGGAATCTCCTGCAACTCTTCTGGACGGTCTCCTTCTTTAAGTTGGTGAATGCTGCCATTTCTTCCTTGTTTCTTTCTGCAGTGTTCTACATTCTGTTCCATGTCTTGGCATTGTTTTGTTGTCTCCTTTTCATCATGTCGAGAATCTCATTTATCATCCATTCATTTTTTCTTCTTT